GCCTGGTCTACAAAAAATGGACTTGAAATGAAAATGCTTTAGTGACAGCTGAAAGGAGTTTACCATTTTGGAAAAGTGGATCTCCGTTTGCAACAGGAAGGTTGTTCAGTGTTAAGTTCCTGTGTTGAATTGAAACCAAATCTAGACCCAGCATCATCCTCAAAGCCTGAAAAGAACAGCCACATATATATAGACAAAACACATAGTAAAATCAGTTATTACCAAATATTTCCATCATACACAAAGACACATAATAACAGTCACAAGTTAACCCTGCCTTATCAATTTCATACCTTACTGCAGTCTCCTCTCCCATTACAGACTGTGCTGATGTAGACTGCCCATGTGCCATCAGTAGATGAGGCCAGCAGGTAAGTGCAGGTGCCCTGGAAGTGGAAGTGCTTCCTGTCAAAAGTGCGATAGTGGGCTCCACCCCAGGACATGCATGTGGCCGAACCCTGAGGCACCCTGGCACTACCCAGCAGACCGCTGCGCACCAGTGGGGAGGACTGGGAGTCTAGAGATCAATGAGAAAGGAAAAGTAGCACTGTATATGTAGTCCATACATAGAAGTTAGGTAGTTAGATATTCTGTGTGTGCATACTGGATATGCATGTATGTTTTCTGACCAGGAAGGAGAGTGTAGGTGCACGACAAGCAGGTCTGATCAGAGGCATTTCTCCAGCTCAGTCCCCACTGGCTGCTGCAGCAGTGCTCCATGGACATAAGGGACGAGTTGTGAAATCCAGGGAACTCTGCACAACTCCACGTAGAGTAACACTGACCACGCACACCCACACCTGGGAGAGGTAAGATTTGAAAAGAATAGAGGAAGTAAATGCCTTGGAGAATGAATGTAGTACATGGAACTGGTCTGTTGGTTTCTTGGCCTCACCTTCAGAGCAGCGTGGGCCACTCCAGCCCTCACAACACGCCTTCACTGTCTTGTTCACTACCTGGCTCTCCATCTCTGGAGGTCTGAGGTGCACAGAAGATAATGAAGTTAGCACGTTCTTGATACTGTTTTGATTCATTCAACTGTCGTACTGGTCACTTCCTTTGCATTCCCTCTTGGATCCTGTTGTACCTTTTAAAATACAAAATGTACTCTAGGTGACAAAATGTACCTGATAAAAGTTTTGATAAGGTATTCGTTCCTGCATTGCATTTCTTGTCAGTTTATTTTATCAGGTAGGTGTAATATAAACATTGCATCCTAATATTTTCAATTCATCGCCTCCACCCGCACTCGTGCTCTTATCAGCCAGCAGGAGTCACTGTTGAAGCGACAAGGACATGATCCCTCACCATATTCCCACCACCACAAATAAGAACCTTTAATACAGAGACCCCATTCATTTTCCATTCAGAAGACCCCTTCTGTCTTTTCTTGTTTTCACTGATCCAAACAACCCAAAATATGGAAACAGGGGCGTGTAACACAATAGCATGGGGATCCTGTCCCACTAGCCTTGCCCTCCCTTTTACACAGAGGTCAATACAGCTTTGTGAATATCTCTGCTGTTGTATAATGGTGTTACAACCCTGCCATTTCTTATTCATAACTCTCAAACAGAGCTGTAAAGGTGAATAAAGACTGCAGGCTGTGTAAAAGGAGCTTTGTGTGGTAAAGTGGATGTGTAAAAACATTTATCTGTTGGTTTTTTATTCGATCGATACCATTGAGCAATACCTCTTTTACTGAACTAAACACACCTCTTCTGAACTACACACGTCAGACGGTCTTACAATCATTAAACTCCTCACTCACTTGTACAAGAAGCAGGAGGCATTGAGCCCCTGTTGTTTGTAGTAGAGGGCAATACCATCATCACCTCCATGCTTGAGCCGCATCCTGTCCACGTCTAACCTCCAGTCCTGGGTGTTGTACTGATAAACCTCAGAGCAGCTCACTTCAAGCTGCAGACGTGGAGACAGGACTCGCTCCACTCTCTCCTCCATTTTATGCTGACACCAGTGTCTGGAATATGATACAGAGATTTAATTTTTTATTTAATTTCCTCTCCACGTCCAAGTATACTGATTGACACAAAGACTGACTCAAGTGCCTTAATTCCACAGATCAGATTCAACTTCTTTGAGCATAAACTGAGAATCAGTAACTATGTTGTAATATAATAATATGCTATGCAACAAATATTTACATATACATCCCTTATTGATATGAAGTTAAACTTATAGCAAATATAATGATATACTATATAATTTGATAAGTAAAAGGTACTTGATTCAATATTCTAAAATTCAGGACCTCAATACTGTATCAAGTTGGTCAGTGGGTTGAAATTAATAAGAGTATAAATAAATTAGCACTGATATAGGAAAAATATTATATCAAAATGAATTTACAATAGCCTTTTTAATAGTGCGCACTGTGTTCTGTGTCTTGCTCATGCCTGTTGGCACATTTTTCTTCTCTTCACTGTCTCACCTGTTCCCTCTTAAAAACATACTTAATCCTGTTCTCACTGGTCTCAATCACACTCACCCCATTCCCATCACTGTCTGAAGTCCAAGCAGAGTCAGTAGTAGTGTCTCCATGGTCCTCTCTTCAGTATTTGTGCTTAAAATTCCTGTAAAGAAGTCCATAAGCAAGTCCATATCCAAGACTGATTTTTTTTGAATTTGAACATATTATTACAATCCCATCTCTCTGCTATAAGTGCCCTTACCTTTGAAGTGCTTTTGGTAATTCTTTAGATTTTTGCCACAAAAAGTTATTTTCTGTCACTTTTCTTTATTGCTCTGTCCAGCAGTTTGCAATACAATCCACAGTGAAGTGATGATTTGCCTTATGGAGGGAGTGGGACCCCAGACCCAGGGTTTTAAATGCGGGGGGTGACTCAAGGGTTGTACAGTAGCATCTGAACCTGCTGTCATTGGACATAAGTGGCAATGTCCCAGCTGGAAGAGCGAGCATTGGCCACCCGACCTGTGACGGACACATCCTTTGACCTCACCCAGTCAAACTTTACAGGACGCAGTAGGTGACTGCGGGGGTGGTGGAGCCTCAGCCACAGGATAAAGAGGTGTTTGTCAGAGCCTAATCCTGTAAAGAGACACTTTTCGGGAAGGATGATGGGGGAATTTATTCAATGAACCGTGTCAACAGACGAGGAGACCGAAGGCTTTGAGACTCACCACTATCCCAAGTCTGACCTTCCGACCCCAGAGTGAGGAGGCTCAAACACAGCTGTCACCAGAGTACACTTTAGACTGAGCTGAGTGGAGAGGACGGAGAAGCTACTGTCACAAGATTTTCGCTTAAATAGTATTCGAGCTGTGTCATAATTGACTTCTTCAGCCTCGGAGTCATTGTGTATCTTGACAGAAATAGCAAATGTCGGAGTCAGCGTGTCATGTCTTCATTATCCTTCATGAGAAGACAAGTGAAAAGAGATGGTACAGAGAAAGAGAGAGAGCTTTTATCTGTAGGATATATCAAGTGCCCATGGGCATGAAATAAAATCATATGTGGTCAGGTACATTGAGGAAAGTGACCTTCCTGTCGTTAAACCAGCAAAACAAGATTTGGACACACCCCACAGGTGCTTGCATCATGCGCTTTAGACTATGCACTTAAATCATTAAAATAGAGCCCTAAACCTTGTTTCCTGTTATCTAGTGAGGTGAAAAAATGTTGGCTCTGGATGGGAAAATGATAACCACCATGGTTCAAGTTTGTAGATATATAAGATTGTATAAAGCACAGGATGCTGACATCAGCATGCTAACCACTATTAATATGTTTACGTTCAGCATTTAACAATGGTAATTTGCCATTGTCACACTGCCTGTGTGAGCTGTGCATGCCGTTGCAGGCAAAGTTTCTGCTGCAGGCTACGGAGCTGCAGTGTGTGTTTTCTGGTATGAATACTGTATGTCCTGTAATTACAGGTATATATATAAAAATAAATGTCAGCACTCTACAGTATGAAGCTGTGCATCTTCTGCTCCTGCACCAACAATATCACCATGTCAACACAAATGAGTGCTTTTTGTCAGGTTCACAAAGTGTTGCAAATATTTATGTTTGTGACACATCCAACAGATAAATATTGAAACTGTGTTGATATGATCATTTCCACTGTATATTCTGCTGTGAACCACTTGCAGAGAAAATAGACGAAACCTCAAATCTCTCCAAGAGCAGCACGGCTCCCACCACTTATCCGAGCCTGAGCCATGCAGAGATGATCCAAAAAGCACAGAAGAGTGTGTGCAGCCGTTGGTTTCACCAAACGTGTGGAGAAGACAATGGGCCGATCGATGACTCTCTCACCTTCACTTTTTATTCCCAGAGTTACCCAGATATAAATAAATAAATGAATAATCTATTAATGTTATTGTTGGTTGCTTTTAATAGACTTTTGATGGATTAAAAAAAGTGATTCACCTTTAATACAATGTTTTAAATTATTTTTAGAGTTTCTTTATTTAGGCAGACTTATATGTCAATATGAATTAATGAAATTTCTATGAATAAAATACATTTTCTTGTTCAGCTCTCTGGCCTTTCTGCATAATATTTTTAAAAAATATAGTCATATTGAGTTTGGGATGGGTAATTCAATGGGTAATTTAAATTTTATTTTAGAATTGTAATCTGGCAGATTATCAAATTTATGCAGAATTGTATTTTTGGGCACACAGAACACAACAGCTGTGCCATGTCTATTTTTGTATAATATCTCCATTCTCTCTTCTGGTGTGGTTAGAAATAAACTCAAGGATTGCAGATACATTAAATATGTTGAACTAATGTGTAAAACAGATATGGGAATAAATCACAGAATTCAAAACTGCAAAGAATGTCCCAGAATACCCAAACTTAATTTAGTTTTAAATGTGCTGTTCAAAAAAACATGCCCAGACTTGAGTCAGATTAATTATCTAAAAACCAAATCAGTTATTTCATAATATTTACAACCCGCTGTTGGCCAATCCGCTTCCGTCGCTTGTAGGAGGTGAAGTATAACCAGGGAGCATTGGACACCGCATTCAGGAAGTTTTTTCAGTAACTGACACAGGAGTGGATTTACCCCCAGTGATTTACAAAGCACCTGAAGCGGGTGGACACCTACAGGTAGTGTTCTATTCTTTGTTCCTAATACAGAGCTGCAAGTGTCTTTAAACAAGAACTGAACTCCATGTATCACAATATTAGTTCTTAAATGCTTTAATGTAATATGGAAGAGTGACACAATAATAAATAATTATCAAGGAAATAATTACTTGTAATTAATTGTAAAAATTGACACAAGGATAACATTTATCTTGTAGAAGTACAGCACAAACAGAGCAGGGAGGGAAAACGTAGATTGAATGTGTCGTTGCAGCGATATGATAAAAGTAAATATAGTGAAGGGAACAAAAAAGAATTGAAAAAGAAAACAAAGGAGAGTGAGCCAATCTGCTGAGAGTGCTGTAGTTAGTTGGAAAAGAGATGTGGTGGAAATCTGAAACAAAATAAATGATTTCGTTCGAGAAGTTAAAATGTCTTTTAAGAGTTTTATGATAAGCCTTTGCAAAGGGTATTTAATAGATATTTATTAGAAACCAGTGGGTGGTTTAGAGATAAGCATACAAGTCAAGGCTGTGAGATATCAGAAAATGAGGAGGTACAGCCAGGTACTGCTGGAACAGTAAGCATGACTCACATTCAAGGATATAAACTAAGCTGACAACAGTAACTTTCCACAACAGAGTGAATGACAAAACAATTAGGCCTTTAAAAACTGTTAAGAGTAATTTTGTATGTGGAAACAAAGCTCTTGTTCCTTAAACTCAATTCTTCAAACTGTTGAATCCAAGATCTTTTTAAAAAATTAAATATATTGTGAAGTGACTTCACTTAAAGTCTCTCTTTCTTTTACAAATCTCACTCTGGATATTCTTTTCTCTTCATAATACAGGCATGAAGCTTCTCTGTCTACTGCTGTTGGCCTCTTTGGCTGGCTGTGGTGCTTCCAGGTCAAGAGACTGGGCTCATCACGGGGCTCCCATGTTTGCTGACCTCACAGTTCGTGAATTGAGAGCTGTCCGGGCGTACCTGCACGGTATTCCTCAACTGGAGCTCACTGATGCTCGCAGCAAGACTCTGATGAAGAACAGCATCCTCCTGATAGAACTCCATCTTCCGAAGAAGCAAAAAGCCCTGAGAGCTCTGGACCATGGACATTCAAAACCCATACGTCAAGCCCGTGTCGTTATCCAGTTTGGGAACCAAACAAATCCCAACATCACTGAATACATTGTCAGTCCACTGCCATCCCCAATGTCTCATGAAGTGAAGACCTTCAAGGGGGCTAAGCCTGTTCACTTTGAGTCGAGGCCTATTACTGCTGCAGAGTATGAACATATGATTGACATCCTTGTGAAGATTACAACTAAAGCTCACAAGCTCCTCTTTGAGACCACAGGCGGGTTTTCCTTCACTAACTGCTCTGACCGCTGCCTGACGTACTCTGACATAGCCCCCCGTGGACTGGGTCCTGGTGAGAGGAGAACCTGGATCATGTTGCAGAAGTTTGTGGAGGGTTATTTCATCCACCCAGTTGGGTTCGAGGTACTGGTCAACCATCGGAACCTGGACCCCAAAAAATGGTATGTTGAAAAGGTCTGGTACAACGGCATGTACTTTGACAGTGTTGAGGAGCTGGTGGAAAAGTACGAAACAGGAGGTGTGGAGAAGATCAAGTTGCCAGATCACGATGACAGTGACCTCTACTCCACCTACATCCCCCGGGGTCCCAGCAACACTCCCACCAATATCCATGGGCCAAAGCTTGTGGAGCCCCAGGGTCCTCGCTATCACATTGACCGCAACTTTGTTGAATACGCTGGATGGTCTTTTGCCTACCGAGTTCGCTCATCAGCTGGGCTTCAAGTCTTCGATCTGCGTTTCAAGGGAGAAAGGATCGCCTATGAAATCAGCCTCCAAGAAGCGATTGCCTTCTATTCTGGTGATACACCTGCGGCCATGCAAACAAAGTATATTGATGCAGGATGGGCCATGGGCACCTCAAGCTTTGAGCTAGCGCCTGGAATCGACTGTCCAGAAATTGCCACATTTATCGACCTTTACCACTACTACGACACAGACAAACCTCTGCACCACAAAAATGCACTTTGTATTTTTGAGATGACAACAGGGATGCCCCTCAGAAGGCATTTCAACTCCAACTTCAAGGGGGGATACAACTTCTACGGGGGGCTGGAAAATAGTGTGCTGGTGATGAGGACAACCTCGACAGTTTACAACTATGATTACATCTGGGACTTCCTCTTCTACCAGAATGGGGTGATGGAAGTAAAGGTCAGTGCCACTGGATACATCCACTCCACTTTCTTCACACCCAGCGGACTTCAATATGGCAACAAGGTGTACAATTATGTGCTGGGGAACATGCACACACACCTCATCCATTACAAGGTGGATCTGGATATTGCTGGTGAGTATTCAATTACAATCATCATGTTTTTAATGTCTAATGTATCTTTATTTGCCATTGGCCCTCTGTATTTAAAAAAGGCTATAGGAAAAACCAGTAGGAAAAACAGTTTTAACAGAATTATACATATTTGGTTTCATATGTCACAGGTATGAAGGTTGACAGTAAGGATATAATTGGTCAAACTTTTGCATAGGAAACAATAGGAAGCATCTTGTCATAGCCCCACAATTAATATTTGGTATTTCATTAACTGTGACCCCAGGTCATCAAGAGTTTCACCCTACTTTTTTTTGCCAAAACAACAATCCTTTCCAAGACCAGAACCATCACACCACATAATGTAAAAAGTGAGAATATATCAAATGTTCCCACTGCTCATAAAAAACCTTGGCATTAAACATTGTCTGCCATCATGCACAATCCTCTAATACTGATATTCTTAACAATCCATACATTGTGTTCATCGTGTGTTTATGAAGCTGTGAAGATAGAGAAACAAGAGGAAAGAAACGGCACAGATGCATTGAGCTTTCATCAAGTTTTTTTTATTAATGCCAGTCTCTGGACTTCAGCCTGTCATAAAGCAGACTTGGCTTATCAAGCGTCTGCAACTATTCTGTTGAAATGTTTGCACATGGCTCTGTGCTTTGCTGAAATCAATAACTTAATCTCCCAAAAACCTGTCTGTCACATACCCAAAGAATTAGCTATGGAAACCTTTGATACAAAGGTAAATTAATTGTGATGTGACTGATTACACCTTGACATCTATCTTTGCTGTCACTGTGACGCAGGTCAAGAGAACAGCTTTGAGTCGATTGATCTGAAATACGTCAACTTCACAAATCCCTGGAGCCCGGAGCATTTCATCGTCCAGTCCAAACTCCACAGGACAAATCACGACACCGAGCGATCTGCCGCCTTCCGCTTTGGCAAAAAGTTCCCCCGCTATGTGCACTTTTACAACCCCAACGAGAAAAATAAATGGGGGCACCAGAGGGGTTACCGAATTCAGTTCAACTCACATGCCCATAGTGTTCTTCCGAGAGGCTGGAGAGAGGAAAACGGCATCAGTTGGTCAAGGTAATACAACATTTTACTATTATGTTTCTAGTAAAAGAGTGTATGAGTAAATATTTAAACCCATGTGTGCCATGTTTTTATGGGGACCACCATTCCAAACATCTTCATCATCATCTTCAAGTTTACTTGTATTTGATATCTTTATAGACACTGACATCTCCATCTAAGCAAAGTTTGCACACATAGCAAAATGGTTTTGTAATGATTGACCCCACAGATGATCACTGAAGTGGAAGAGTTTGACCTCTGGATTAGGAGCGTGGTTATAAATCAGGCCAAAGTAGAGCTTTGGTTTGGGAAAATGTGGGTTACAAAAACAGTCATAAACCAAGCTGCAGCTGCAAATCATATCTGAGTTCTCCGTCTCTCAGCCATCCGACTGACAGGTATTATAACACTGACTGATGACCGGTTTGTCCGCAGGTATCCTCTGGCTGTGACTCGTCATAGAGATAGTGAAGCCACCAGCAGCAGCATATACAGCCAGAACGATCCCTGGGAACCTGCCGTGTCCTTTGAGGACTACATCCAGAACAATGAGGACATAGTCAACCAGGTACAGTAGTAAACATAAGGAGAGAAAAAGATTTACATTTAAATGAGCATTTCTCTTACTTTTTGAGGTGTAATGTTAGTGACTATTAAAACAAAATGATTTAATCTAGTTTTTACTGGTGTAGGAGGCTTGATTCATAAATAGACCATTTTAAATGGATTCTTAGAAAAGCTGTTTATATTTCAGGGGTGGGGGGATGTTTTGCTGTGAGGTTATGTCATTGGATTACGTTTGTTCTTCCTAAAAGAATCTGTTTATCAGTTCTTTTTCCAATGCTGACATTTCCCTCTGTTTGCACATTTAAATGGATGAAAACCACATGTTCTGTGTCCTATTCAAAGTAGACTTACTGTAATGTTTGCTTCCCTGTGTGCAGGACCTAGTTGCCTGGGTGACGGTCGGCTTCCTGCATGTGCCTCACTCAGAAGACATCCCCAACACGGCAACACCCGGCAACGCAGTGGGTTTCTTCCTTCGTCCCTTCAATTTCTTCGATGAAGACCCTTCGGTGTCGTCGCAAAGCACCATCATCGTCCGGCCGGGCCAGGATGGCAAACCCAAGGTCCAGAGATGGACACCTGAGGTCGTAGGACACTGTGTGACGGACAAGCCATTCTTTTACAACGGCTCCTATGTTGGAGTCTAGGGAGGTTTTCTAAAAAGTGTTTTAGCACAATTATTATAATTAGGCTCAATAACACAATTTGGATCTTAGATTAATGACAATCACTTGAAGAACATATAGTCAGATTTATTCTGAGTCTTGCATAACAATATGACAACCTCATGAGAACAAATGTAAAAGAAAGACAATTTTGAAAAGGGAGAAGTTTATATTGTGTTATTGTTTTTCTATCAATGGTTATATATAAATGAAAAGCAAGTTTTTTTTATTGAAATTATTTAGCTACAGACTCTACATTACACTGACATAAAACAATCACATTTCACACCTGTCTTTCTCCAATCTGGCTGCACCGATTTAAAAGATAAATTAATCTTAATGGCAAAGTTAATAAAACACAGTATGGCAAACCACACATGTAACCTAGCAGGGGGAAGTGGAGTGGGTGTGGGGCATGGAGGTCTTGAGAACTTGAGTAATCCCATGGCGGGTCTCCGTGGCTGAGGTTTAGCAGCAGCAAGCATCCAGGATGCAGGATGCTGCGTATCCGCCCCACATGGGTCTAAACTACCGTCCCTCAGCACGCTCCACCCACCCCCCTGGCGGGAATGTTTTCGCTGCACAGACAACAGGCCTTACAGAGCAAACAGCCTGATTCCGGATCCTTCCACACAAACAGCCCAGATACCACCTGGCGGAGCCGTCGCCCCTGGAAACCTATCCATACGTACAATGTGGCAGAATTTACGGAAAATCAACAGCACATGTTACTGCTCTGTCCTTTATGTACACATTCCTGACAGAGCCACATGACTCACACTCACTATTATATAAAGTGACAAATAAATCTAAGTTTCTGGATCTTATTGTATGTTATTGATATTGTTTTGAATTCAATCTTTTGTATCAAATATCAAACAATGATTAAACACAATTTTCTGTTTGCCATCAAACTAAATAAAACTTCCAGAGCAATGAGTGGTTTGTGCAGTGGGAAAGTGGGTTGTGTAAAGGGTAAATACGTGTTTTTTTAAAAAGTGAAGAAGGATCAGGCCAACAACTGTCGTCACTGTCTAAGGACTCTTTTTATAGGTGTGTGCCAATGTTTTACAGTGCACATTATAAAAGAGGGATAGTATGAGAGCTATGCATGGACGTGGACGTTAGAGGAGGGGACAGAAAGACAATCTGAAATGGCTAACAAGCATTCCTATAGCAACTTCCATAGCAATGACTATAGGAATGTACTGAATGCAACACCATTTATTCTGAACTGGTGTAGAGAAGCTTTACATGTAAAAACTATGTTATTCTCCTCCATGTGTTTCAAATCAGTGGAGACATATTTTAGAAATATTGAGATATATATTGAGAGACCCGCTCCATATGTAAATATAAAGCTTTTAAATCTAAAGGGCTCATTCTAGGGTGAAGAAAACAACAATTCATACAATTTAAGTGAAACACACTAGTGAAAACATCACTAGGATATCATCCATTTCACCTAAATCTAAGGTACCAGTGTGAAGAAAAAAAAACAGAAGGTTCACATGTCAAAGACCAGACCAATGCATATTTGTTACAAAAAATATTTCTAACATGCACTAGTATGTGTGGGTCTGTTATAAAAAGACTGGGATCTCAGATGGAGAAATGTGGCCACCTAGTGGTTTCTTAAATAATTGTCTTCTCAGAAGCTGAAAATTTATGTTGGACACAGGCCATGATTTGATATTTTATATTATGGGTAAGGGGTAATTCTTAAAATGTTAGAATCAGTATTAAAACTAGTGTGCATGTTTCAACAATGATGATTATATTTGTGTTTTTATCATCAACATGTATATGTACAGGGTTTTGAAAAGACTTGAAGAACTGAACCCCTGCTGCTGTTCATCAGGGTGGGGAGGGTCCACACATCCTAGACCAATTAGCAGAGAGTGGAAGTGGGTTATAAATGTGCAGCCTGTTTATGGTTCATCATGCAACATGGTCCATGCAAATGTTATTTCCATGTGACTACTCATGCAAACTTATGCTTTCTCAGACTAACATTTACACTAAATATTGCATTACAGAAGCTGTATAAATGTATTAAGGATTTCGTATACCCTTCTCTGGTCTATAGAATATTCATTTGATTGCGATGTTTGTTTATTTACAGGGATTGTGGCAAAACCCAAGCATCTTAGAATCAAAAGTTAAAAATGAGAAAACCCACCAAAGAAGCTCAGGTGTAAGTTTTATTTGGGAGTGAACAGGTTTTGAAAAATCTAAGAGAGTTCCTGAAGTTCATTTTAAAAATATAGGGAAGGCAATAAAAAATGTATCACAAAAAATAAAGGAGCAAGAGGCCATTGTCTGGCTTGTAAAGCAGCAGCCTTGCTTCCATCCATCTGTTTGTCTTTTCCTTTCTATTTCCAGCTTTGGCTTTGCGCTAATCATCCATCTGTTTTTATCAAAAGATGATTAATCCTCATTCATTCAAGCCTCATTGTGACTTGGGCATGGAGATGTCACATATGTTTGAATGATGCGATAGTCCAACACTACATCCTGTCTGAGATCCTGTGAGAGACAGCTATAAATAGAGTGTGTATTAATTACACACACGAGTTTAATCCTCATTTACTGTCTGATGAACCACACCTTTTCTTTTCACAGTGATAGTACACCAGGAAATGTAATGAGTAATACAGTAGTAAATATATTTATAATCACAATGTGTAATAACCTGTCCATCTTCCCTTCAGCCCAGTAGAGCACGGAGTGTCTTTGCTCTGAGGACACACATCCTTGGTTTACTTACTCAATCAAATCTCAAACGACTACTTGGGTTATTTTATTATCATTTATTTTTATAAATGTTTTACTATTTTTTAATAAATTGATTTCGATGGTAGGAAAGAATAAAAAATCTTCTGTAATCATTAATTATCGTGTATCTTATTAATGTCCTCTTTAGTGGTTGATGAGGTTTTTTTCTTAAATATATCTGTCTTGCTAGGCTTTGAGAGGTTTTAAGCTCTCAAAATGAAAGCTTGTGCTCTAGAATTAGAATAGGAAAGAAACTCCACCCATACATGATCAGCTTTATGTAGCCTGCAGTTTAATATTTTGTGAGGATAATAAAAAACATGTTCTCGGGAAATGACGTCTCCGAGGCAAGGAGCCTGTCATGGGCATGCGCGTCTGCTTAACACCTCTGTAGTCAAGGCCCTGAATTCACAACTCTGCAACCCTGTAGGCAAGTTATTATTATAATTATACTATTCATTTTATGGATACATCTAATATTCTAATATATGTTGCACAGATTCATAATGCTGGTTCGACATGGTGATGTCCTGGACCATGCTTGAGGAAATTGTCTGAATCTGAACCTTTCTGAATTTTAGAACTGCACTCAGTGTGGGCGGCCATGGGAAATGGGGGAGAGAGGAGAGGTGGGTGAATAGTTGTGTAACTTCCATATTATTATATTTCATATTGCTGTTAAGAATCTTGTTGTAACCTATTTGAAAAAAAACATTCAAGGACATGATTTTAAAAAACTGCTTTTTCTAAATTACACTAGCATTCCAAGAAAAAGAATGGTGTGAGATTTATGGGTACAAGGACACTCCACACCATGAAACAACATTGTGTAGCCGTTCAAACAGAGCCAGTCAAATAACAAGGTATAGTGGACATAGTTTGGCATTTTGGGAGGTTATGGGACTCTCTTCATATCCACATATTGTCAGGGTTGGGAGGTGCGTGGGGAGGGATCGAACGTGGTAGGAAAAAAGGGAAGGGAAGGGCCAAAACGCAGAAACTAAATATGGTTTAACAAAAAGTAGGACAGGAAACAAACTTACGAGGAAACGTGAAGAGAGCTGACGGGACACATGAACAGGACCTGACCAGAATCGACGAAACAACAATCACATGGAGGAACACCAAGACTTAAATACACACTTGAACTAATGAGTAACTGGGGACAGGTGGCACAAGACAAACAGGTGAACCTGATGAGGGCAGGAAGTCAAMGGGTGAAAACACACAGGGAGCAAGGACTACAAAATAAAACAGGAAACACTGAACAAACTTATCAACGAGAACACAAATACAATAACCAAGACAGGGATGAACACTGGAGAGGCACAGGCTGAAACATAGCGAGGGACAAGGAGGGGAAMACAGGAGAGGGACACCGAGAACAACACAGGAGAGTCACAGGGTGGAGCACAGAGGAAGGCAGAAGGGAACATGAGAGGAACACAGGAGGGAACATGAGAGGAACGTAGAAAATACATAACCGTGACAAAATACACCAAAACGTGACCAAACAAAACCACAGCCGTGACACATATCTAACAGGGAACATTGTTGCACAGTTATCTGAATGCATGTATTAAGCAGGAGTGCAGATATGAGATAAACTGAACGTATCCTAATTATAACCCTGCCCCTCATCCATCAAGCATGTGTACAAGTGCATGCTCATGTGAGCATGTGCCTACATCTGCAGCCGGATAGATGCACACTAGTCCCCGCTGGAATGCCAACCATCCCATTCCTCTTTGTCTACTTCCTAAAAAAAACTCCCCCACCCCGTCAGCAGCTGAGATTAAACTTCAGACAGACAGGTCCTGCAAAACGCAGTTAGACAGGGGATAGAGAGAGACAGAGGCATAGGGATTACAGGACAAACACAAGAGAGAGACCATTCAATCCCCAGGGAGGATATTAGCTGGTCTCATATTATCTGCTAGCAGAATTTTAATACCCGAATAACAAGTCCCTTACTACTTCAAGTTAAAATCCGCTGATAAACATTTCCGCTTGTTCTACATTAGATCTAACTTTTAATGTAAGTTCAAAAATTCAGTTTAATTATCATTGATTTGCTCTAATTACCAAGGAGGATGTGTAAATTGTAACACACTCCAGAATAGTTAGCTGTGGAGTCATTAGATTAGGTGGTGTAAAAATACAATGTCACTGGAGTAAATGCTGATGTCATTGCCGTGAATGTGCAAATGAGTCATCAGTCATCTGACAAAGCAGCTGGTCAGTCCAGGCTGGTGTGGAGAGGAAGGGGCGGGGACATGAGGAGGGGGGGAGGACGAGAGGTCAACCAGAGGACAGGGTGAGGTGAATCAGAAAACAGTGATTTGCATAATTTCAAACCTCACCCCCTCCCATGTAGGCACATTAAATGGTGGTTTAGATCCACCTCCAGTTTCCTTTCTCAGTTGTAAGCATGGGGATCATACAGTAAAACTTTCAGTGAACTTAACCTGAAGGGAATGTTTTTTATCCCGAGAGGCCAGAAATATCATGTTTAAATGTAGGACTTGTCACTTTTGCAATCCAGGGTTGAGTGAACTATCCCTTTAAAACTGGTTGTCCGGGGGTCACTCACCTTGACAGATGTCCACAATGGAGTGACTCACTGACAGCAAGAGGATTATGTGTGTCAGGGAGCGCAAGAGGTAGGAGCCACCTAACTGTTCCTTCTACCTTCTGGTTTCAGATCAGAATCATGTAGCAACAATATGCCAGCTCACTCATTCAAATCTGGATCTGCTAAACTGACAGAAATTTCAAAAGATCAACAGGATAGCATCAAGAATGCTGTTATTTGTAGGAGCCTTTAGGATGATCGCTCAACAGCTCTTTGTACCGCATGACCCTGTCTTCTTTAATCCTCCTTCTGTGCCACTAGATCTCAGCCAGTCCTCCTCCTGGGTCCCTGTGGGTAGTTGTGGCAGCCTTGTGCTCTCAGCCACTCCATGGACATGGCGCACTGTTTGTATACCTGCTGGTCTCCTGGAATCTCCTGGTTTGGTAAGAAGTATGTATCGTTTAGAACAGGGGTGGAATCAGGGTCAGGGCACTGGCCCCAGTTGAAATCTGATGGCCCCTGAAGTGGCCCCGTCCTGTCATTAGGGTGTCAGACATCTCAAAGCAGCTGTTGAGTG